GGGGGGGGGGGGGCGGCAGGACTGGGTGGGGAATTACTGCAGTTCTGATGAGGGTTTTTACACCCAACCTAAGCAACACTCGTCGTCCACATGGCCCCAAGTGCAGAAATCGTCTTAACGTCTCGCCCTGAAAGGAGTGCCAATTTCCAAAGTTAGAGACCACGCAATTGAATTTCCAGTACTTTCCAACCTAGTCTAGGAGGGGGTAGGGCAGAGAAGGAGAGGGCGGGCTAGAGAAACCCACCCTACGGACCCGCAAAGAAGCATCATGTAAACTACCTTCCACCCTTCCCCCAAGTAGTTAGCCATGTATTCCTGGGTTGCGTGTGGACACACACACACACACACACACACACACACACTCCGCGCCACCACCTTCCGTCCGCTCCTCCAATGTAAAGACTGCATTTTTAAATCGCTAGGAAAATGACTCAGGAAATCTGTGATCACATTTCAATACAAAGCACATTTCCCAAAGCCGGGGGTGCTAGTAGTCACATACACACTCACACCCGGACACCCCCAGAGTCCACCCGGCGCCTGCAGCGTCAACTCGCTCCGAGACTAACACAGCATGAAACCCCACGGCCGGCAAGGGAGGCTGGAGCCAGGCTGCTTGCAGAGGGTGCGCGGCTGGTGTGTTGCGGGGTCGCTTCTCGGGGTTCCGGGCTCCCACCGCAGCGCGCAGGGGGCCGCAGCAGCCGGAGCTGCCCCGCAGGGCAGGCTGCAGCGCGGGAGCCCGGCGCCGCCTCGCGGGCTCCTCCAGTGCCCGCCGGACTCTGGGGCAGAGCGAGTCTGCAGAGGGGCTGCAGGCGACTGGGCCACAGTGAGGATGGGGAGCCCGGCGCGACAGACCAACCCGGGGTTCGCCGCCTCCTTCCCACCGGAGGTCCACGGTCTGGGGCCCGCGCCCATATCTCTGCTGTCCCCTAACACTCGCTCCCAGGCTCCAGTCCGCGGCGGGCTCCCGGGGCTGCGGTAGTGGCGGCTCCCGGCTCTAGCCTCCTAGCCTGGTCTGCAACCTGGACGCCCTGTCCTTCTCTTCCTCCCTCCCTTCCCCGGTGCGGAGCAGGCGAGCAGGCTAGCATCTCCCGGAGCTCCCCGGCAGCCGCGTGAGCTTCCGGGACCTGCGAGCGCAGAGAGGGGCAACCCGGCTGGCCAGCCGCCGCGGTGGTCCCGGAGGCGCTTTTTCCGTAGAGCAGATCACGCCGCCTTACCGTGGCTGCAGGCTTGCCACCGCGGGGGAAGCGGGGAGGAGGACGGCAGGGAGGCAGGCGCCGCGCGGGTGGCTCCGCTCGCTCTCGGCGGCGTCCGGGAAGGAGCGGGTCCCGGTTCTGCCCTCAGCTCCAGCGAGACCAACAATAGCTCTCGCGGGGGAGCGGAGCCCCAGCGAGCCTCCAGCCGCGCGCACACGCCGGGCTCCCGCTCCCGGCCGCTCCCGGCCGGCTTCCCTGCCAGCACTGCTGCCCCACATGAAACAGCTGCAATCCCGAGGCTTCTGGGGGGTTGGGGCGGGTGTGTGCGCGCGCGGGTGTGTGTGAGTGTGTGTTTAATAGCTTCCCTCCTCTTCTTCCCCTCCCTGCCTGCTCGCCTGCCTGCCTCCGTCTCCCACCCTCGCTCTCTTACACACAGGGCGAGCGAGCGAGCGAGACACACGCACACTCACACGCACACACACGCACACGCAGGTTACATGAATGGGAGGCGGGAGCCAATCCTAGGAGGCCTGGCGAGCCCCGGCGCTCAGGCATTTGCAGCAGGGCCGCACCACGGCGCCGGGGGGCGCCACGCAGGTGATGCGCCTCTCCCAGGGCCACTCGCCCTCCTCTCCGCTCACCCCAGTCTCTGCTGTCTGCAATGTCTTCCCTTCTCTCCGTCCTCCCTTTCTTTCCGCAGCTTTCTCCATCTCCTCCTCATCTCATTTTCTTTCTGGATTTCTCAGAGCTCTATCAGTTTCAGTACGGATCTCGGTTTCCTCTCTGACCCTCTCTTTCCTGCCTTGCGAAAACTTTCTCCTCCCTTGTCCCTACTTTCTCTACTTCCTCCCCACTTGCCTTTTGTTCTCATTCCTCCCCCTCTGACTCTCTCCCGGTGTGTTCTGTAGCCTTCTCTCTCTCCCCACACCTCTCCTGGGTCCTTGGCCTCCAGCCTTGCCCCTGGATGCTATTCCACATCCAACACTTTTCCCAAGATGGTCTTGCTGGTTGCAGCTGTAGCTTAGCCCTGGATAATTGACAGCTCCTTCCTTGGGTATGCAAGACGACTACAAGAAAGGCACTCCTTCCTCGGACAACTTCCCAAAACCATGGAAACAGCCACTGAGTCGTGATAACAATCATGGAGGGGAAAAAAGAAAAAAAAAGAAAAAAAGAGCAGTGAACATATGAACATAATAATCAAAGAAACTATTGTCCCTTACAGGTCCAGATCGCGATTGCCAGCACATTACTAAGGCAAGGGCATTTGTCTGTGATAGATACAGCTTGAACTCAGAAATAGCCTTTTTGAAGAGTAAAAGAATGCCACCCCAAGCCTGTTGCACGCTGGTTAAGTCGTAGGACTTGATGTTCAGCAAATTGTTTCCCTCACCCTGTTTGCTTTCTTACCTGTAAAACAGATTTTGCTAACGTCACTAGTGTGCTGAGGATTAAAAAGGAGCAATGCAAAGAAAAGAAAACATCAGCGCACATAGGAGAGCCTCCATGTTGGGTTCCCTAGCCTCTCAGCCCCTTTAAACCTCATTCATCTGCTCCATTACACTTATAAAGTACTTAAGAAAGGAATGGTGGCAAGGCTATTCTGTACAAAATTTTAAAGGGGTGGGTTAGGCTGTTTTGAAAAGGCTACTATGTTCCAGAGACCCTGTGCTGACTACAAAACCATCATGGATTATAAACATGGGAAACTGGATGCCCCTTCAGTATCTCCTAAATTCAGCATGCAGAAAGGTAAGCAAGGGAACACGGGCGGATAGATTTCCTTACCCCCAGTCCAATCTATTTTTAAAATCTTCATGATGAGTGAACACTGACCAGTGACAAAGCCTTTGAGACTAACTAAAATGTCAAGCCTGTGGATGGCATTTATCAACTACGTGTCCTCACTACAGACATCACTGATGAGGACCAGTATGATTGGCAGTCAGATTCTGTCCTGCAGCTAGTACTTGATGACCACCTAATCTGTGACAGGTATGTGATGGGCTCTGACCACTCAGGTGTGATGCCAACCAACCCTGCCTAGACAGTGTCCTAGACATGTCTCATAGATACTTGATAATAAATAAGAGATACACACTGTGCTGGATCTCTTCAGTTGTCAACCTGACACACCTGGGTAGAAGAAGCCTCAACTGAGAAATTTCATCCACTGGACTGGCCTGTGACCATGGTCTGTGGGGCATTAACTTGATTGTTGAGTGGTGTGTGGGAGGGCCCAGCCCACTGTGGGCAGTGTCACCCCTGGGCAGGTGACCCTGTGTTATATAAGAAATCAGGCTCAGCACAGGCCAGGAGAGTAAGCCAGTAAGCAGTATTCCTCCATGGTCTGTGCTTCAGCACCTGCTCCGGGTTCCTAACCTGAGTTCCTGCCCTGGCTTCCTTCAGCAATGAACTGTGATCTGGGAGATGTATGATAAAATAAACTGTTTTCCTCCCCAAGTTGGTTTTGGTCAATGTTTTATCATAGTAATAGAAAGCAAGGAGGACAGCAGTTGGTAACAGGATTGTGGGATATTGTTGTGATGGACCTGACCATATGTATCTGGGAGGATTGTGGACGTTTTTGGCACTTTGGATCAGAAAAATACTTAGAGATAAATGAGTTGTTCTGTAGGAACTTGGAAGATAATGCTAAAAGGGGTGTAAACCTTAGAGGCCTGACTTTTGAAGCTTCAAAAGACTATCAGGTCTGTTTGTGTAATATATTTTGAATTAAGAATTTGTTTAAGTGAAACCTTTTGTGCTTTACTGGGATAATCTATGCTGGTCAAGTGGGGCTGAAAACTCAGCTGTGAGTAGCAAGAGATCAGCATCATTGAGTGAAATATTCTAAGAAATATTTCCTCAGGGTCAGCATACTAGAAGCTATGGTCCAAAGGGGCCAGGGCTACACATCACACTGGCAATAGAGCTTGGCAATATGTGAGAGTCTCCCAGGTGGTAGTGGTGTTGAAGGCATGAAGGGGTCTTGGAGAGAATCTGAGACTTAGCACTCTGAGAGGCCAGGCCAGGCCACTGGTGAAGGTACAGCCTTAGATACAGTGGAATCCCCAGCATATTGGAGGTGGCAGGATCATGGGAAGACCACTAAAGGCAGCAGAAGGTGTGGAGTAGAGCTGGCCTGAATCCATAAGACAAGCTGTATTCTTTAGATGGCACAGCTAGAGAAATGAAGTTTCCTAAGCCCTTTAGAGCCCAGGAGATTGTGAGTGAATCTCAGATGTCCAACACTGAGCTACATTGCTGAACTTTGATTTTACTTAAGTGTGCTCAGTTCTTCCCTTTTGAAATAAGATAGTGTGTAACTTGTTTGGTATATTACAGGAGCCCATAGCTAAGAGAACTTTTAAAGAGACTTCAAACTTTTAAAGGATTGGAATTCTTTAAAAGTGTGGGACTTTTAAAATTGCATTATGTTGTGATATTAATATTAACTATCTTGGGACAAAAATGGAAAGATTGTGGTTTACTAGTGATGTGTTTGTGTGTCAGGTTGACGGGGGTCAATTGTGCTGGATTGCTTCAGTTGTCAACTTGACACACTGGGGTAGAGGAAACTTCAACTGAGGAATTTGGTCCATTAGATTGGCCTGTGGTCATGTCTGTGGAGCATTACCTTAATACTTGAGTGATGTGGGAGGACTCAGCCCACTGTGCACAGCGCCACCCCTGGGTAGGTGGTCCTGTGTTGTATACAAAAGCAGGCTGTGCATAGGCCAGGGGGCCAAGCCAGTAAGCAGCATTCCTCCATGGTCTATGCTTTAGTTCCTGCCCTGACTTCTCTGTGACGAACTGTGACCTAAGAAATGTAAGAGAAAAACACAAAACAAAACAAAACAAAACAAAACAAAAAAAACCTTTCCTCCCCAAGTTGGTCTTGGTCAATGTTTTTATCACAGCAATACAAAATAACTTGGACACATATACTCAGTGGATGTTCTAGCTTGTTTCTCCATTGCTGTTACAAAACACTCTGACCAATACCAACTTGGGAAGGAAAGGGTTTCTTTAGCTTACATCTCCCAGGTCACAGTTCATCTGAGAGCCCAAGGTAGGAACTCAGGGCAGGAACCTGGAGGCAGGAGCTGGAACATAGGCCATGGAGGAATGCTGCATACTGGCTTGCTCCCCTGGCCCCTGCTCAGCCTGCTTTCTTATACAACACAGGCCCACCTGCCCAGGGTGGCACCACCCACAGTGGGCTGGGCCCTCCCATATAACTCAACAATCAAGAAGATGCCCCACATTCATGGCCACAGGCCACTCCTATGGAGGCAATTCCCCAGTTGAGGCTCTGTCAACCTAGGTGTATCAAGTAGACACTAAAGCTATCCAGCACAATGGACAAATCTTATAAAACACAAGGTCTGTGAATGGGGAATTATAAGAGACGCTTGAGAGTAAACATTTTGGAAATCACCTTTAGGCTATGTATTGTCTTCAAGTGATAAGAAAACAGAGCCAGATGCCAAAAGCAGTAGGTAGAAATATGAAGAGAGACAAGATGTTTACATGGTCTCCAAGTATCTCCCTGAAAGATACTGTCCATTTCAAAGGGGAGGGGGACAGTAACTTTAGGCCAGAAAGATCTGGCAAACTCTGCCTTACTCAAAATATTAAAGTCAATATCATATAGAATATCACAGACATCCCGTGCCCCCTGATGTGATGCACTGGGAAGGACATAATGTCATTTCTGGAGCATCTCTATCAGAAATGAATAACCTGAATTTACTAATCGGCATGTCAGGTAAATTCAAATTGAGGGCCATTCCACAGAATAGGTGTTGAATTTGATTCAAGAATATGGAAGTCATGAAAGACAACTCAGAGGAGTTCCAGATTAAAGGAACAGCTTGGTTATTGTGACAATCAATGCAACATGTGATCCCGTATTGGACTGTTAATGGGGAGATTATATTATATATACAATAATGTATCCATACTAATTTATATTGGATTTATATTATACAATAATGTATTCATACTAATTTATATTGGATTTATATTATACAATAATGTGCCCATACTAATTTCCTAGTTTGGGTGGTTATGTAGGAAACTATCCTTATTTTAAAGAAATATGCAACTGAAATATTTAGAGGGTCTAGAAAAAAAAAACCCACATGATCCTGGATTGGACTATTCCAAATTGGACTATTGTCAATTGGAAAATTGACAATATTTAAATAACATTTATATTATACAATAATATATCCATTTTAATTTCCTAGTTTGGGTGATTACATAGGAGACTATAATCTGGTTTTG